ATTATTTTTTTATGTCGTATTTGGGGAGGATGTACAATCTCCTGATAATGCTGCAAGGAAATTATTTGAATTTTAATCAGTCTTTCCATCTCCAAATCAGAACTACTCTACTCACTATTCAACTATGATGATCTTGAGTAAGTGTGAAAAGCTCTACTCAGTGTCAAGACAAAACATAATTTCAATGTTTTTAAATTTTCAATGGATGAGTGCAGAAAGCATTTATAAAAGCATTCTAGAACATGTATTGTGGTGTAATTATAATCAGGTATCTACAGAAACAGCCCATATTAATACTTAATACAGGCGATAATTTGTCTCATCTGTCCCCACGCAGCCACAGGCAGGCAGTCCTGGGTGTGGGCACCATCGGCATTTTCACAATAATGAAGAAAGTCTGTCTGCTCAGGAGCAGATGACGGGGAAGCTGGTGGAGTGTAAGCAGCAGGGCCCTCCTTAAAGGCCTTCCAGGGTCCTAGCAAGTGTGCAGTTATGATTTTCAATGTTTTTCTTAAAGAGGATCCCTCCAGCTTGTTCACGTCTTAGAACCACAAACCCTGCACCCAGCCCCGGCCTCTGCCCCTGCCCCTGCCTCCTCGGAACAGATAGAATGTTCTCTCCCACTACCCCCCACCTTCAGGACCAAAACCTCCACCTTGTAAATACCCAAGTGGTTACTGGTGTTCAGACATGGGGGACAGTCTGAAAATGTATGTATTATTTTTATACCTGTCCAAATATTCTCGGGGGAAAAACAGAAACAAAAAATTTACAATCTAGAGGTACTTTCCACACTGGGATTTGTAATTGTCCAAAATATGTGCTGCTGTTGTTGTTGTTGTTGTTGTTGTTGTGAGCATATGGAAGCAATAGTTGGTAGCTCTTACAGCCTTGCTCCTGTCCCTCATCCCCGACGGCAATATTACTCTAGCAGGTTTGGAAGTGACCACGGTATGAAAAAATTAATCAGAGGTGAAGGGAATGCAGCTCAGAATTTCCCAATGACAAGCCTGACTGTGAGTTCTGTTTTTTTTCATCTTAGAATTTCACCGACTAGAACGTTTATTTCTGAGAAAATCCCTACTGGGTTCACAGGCCACTTATTTGTGATGTTGGCAGTGGAGTCAGACAGAGCTGGTTTTGAATCTCAGCTGTGCGCATCGTGAGCCGTAGACACTTGGGCAAAGGGTGTAGCGGGATGTGCCTCGGTTTTCTCATCTGTGAAATTGGAACAATCCTCCCGACCGCAGTGAATCCTTGTGAAGCCTGCTTGAACTCAATGCGGTGGTGTGACTGAGGGACCGGCCCCACCAGGCCCACTTCCCCACCCGCCCCTGTCTCACTCCTGGTGTCCCCAAAGTGCCAGGGTCTTGCTTCTATGACAGCGCTTCCTGAATGAAGCCTCGAGGACGCTGCCGTGTCTGCATGCCCCGCAGGCTGGGTGTTCTTCGGGGCTGGAGTCTTAATCGGCACCAGGATCACCCTCAGAGCTTGGCACGCAGCAGACACTTAATGTTTATTGAAGGAAATTGAATTGAACAGTCAAATAGAACCAAAGATGCGTGCTCCTTGGTGTGGGGTGGAATAGGAGAGGGATGTGTGCTTTGACATTTGCAAATATGTACTTAGAAGGATGTCCAGGGCACACGGATTTCTGTGTGCCTGACAAATCTTAGAGAGGATTCCTGAGTGCTGATGAAATGATAAAATGCCTTCCTGACCCCCTCACCCCTGCCATCAGGAGACAACAGGACTCGTCTAGTCCGTTGGCCTTGGAGGTGGCACAGATCCTCTCTTGGGGCATCAGTGTGCCTCTTGTGGACCCTACGGACCAGCTTCTCATTGGCTGTGAGCGGCAGAGACCAGGAAACTCCCGCAGCCATGGCTGTTCGCGCCAGAGCTGTGCCACCTTCCGGGTCCACCCGCAAAATATAGACCCTGGGCATCTTCTGAACGGCCACCAATCGTGTGACTGGACACCGGAGGCTGCTTAGTCTCTAGACTTCAAATTGGAAATATTTGGGCACTTATTAAATGAAGAGACCCGAGAAAATGTTAACCCCCTGAAAGAGATAAAAAGGAGGAAAAAGTCCCTGAAACCTTGAATTTTGTGTGTCATCCTTTAAATTACACTCCATGTCATGTCAATGTAGAGTATACAGACTCCAGCATCCTGCAGGCCGTGGCCTGTGAGCTAGCCCCTGGGTGAATTAAAACACGTCTGATGACCTCTGCTATTTAATAAGCACCTACTGTGTACCAGGATCTATAAAAGGGGTTTTGTCCTTTAGTGTGAAAAACAGTCCTGGGAGGAAGGTTATTATTGTTCCCATTTTGTAGATGAAGAAACTGAGGCTCAAAGGTCGTGGGCATAGAACAAATCAGCTGTTGAGCTCAGGCAGGATCCCACTCAAGCTCGCCTGACTCCAAAGCCCTTCAGTCATTGCATTTCTGAGCAGAACCACAGTTCCTGGGACCCTAGACCACCACCAGGGGGACATGGACGTTCACCCAGGCTTTCAACCTCCCTGCTGAATCAGCCTGGAGAGAACATGCCTCTAGGAGCTGATTAAACCACAACTTCCGCTCGGCTGAGTTCACACTTTGCTTTCAGAGACAGGAACAGTTCTGGGTGAAAATGCCATAAAAGCCTTTAAGATATAAACTCAAAAGTCAGGGTCAGGATTTTGATGACACATCTTTAAATGTTTTGTTATTAAGCATGTGACTGGAGGTTTTTCACTGTGTGGTCCAGTTGCCTTTTACGTATTCTGCCTGCTCATTCTCCCCACAGATCCTGAGCAATGTCCCTACTCTGAATGATTTTCTCCTCAGCACCGATATACAATTAGAGCTCTAAAACCAGGCTTAAAATAGAGCATGCTTGCCAGTGAATTCATCAAACATTCGGGCTGTGATTTCAGTTAACACAAATATTAACTCTACACCGACCTTATCAAGTAGATGCTATTAGTTTTTGTTGTTTTGGGGGTTTTTTTTATTGAGTTCAGAGAGGAAGGAAGAGGGAGAGAGAGAGAAACATCAATGGTGAGAGAGAATCATTGATCGGCTGCCTCCTGCATGCCACACACTGGGGATTGAGCCAGCAACCCGGGCATGTGACCTGACCGTGAATCGAACCGTGACCTCCTGGTTCATAGGCCGACGCTCAATCACTGAGCCATGCCAGCCACGCAATGCTATTATCATGTCCAATTTACTGATGGGGAAATTGTGATACAGCGGGGTTCAGTCACAGAGTCAGGAAGTACACTTACGATAAACCTGATTTTTCTTCAGCTATGTTGAGTTGGATATACATCTCATTGTCATCAAAGGAATCTGCAGAATACAGCCACCCATTCCTTACTAAACCTGTGTTGGGTTCTTTTTTTTTTTTAATATATAGTTTTATTGTTTCCAGAGAGGAAGGGAGAGGGAGAGAGAGAGAAACATGAATGATGAGAGAGAATCATTGATCGGCTGCCTACTGCACACCCCACACTGGGGATCAAGTCTGCAACCCAGACATGTACCCTGACCAGGAATTGAACCGTGGCCTCCTTGCTCATGGGCCCACACTCAACCACTGAGCCATGCCGGCCGGGCATGCAAGGTTTTGATTAGATACTGGATGCAGAGCAGTTGGCGTCTGCAGAGTGAGTGGTCAATTAAAACAAACTATTGTCTACGACCGACCGGAGTGAGTCTCTCACCCCGTGCCTGGGCCTTCACTGCAGAGGGAGGTGCGTCAGAGGCCTCTCAGTCTACAAGAGCCTGACGCCATTCCGAGGTCCTGCTTCGTGCACACCCAGACTCGTCCGCCGGGGGCTACCTCTGCTCCCATGCTGGGCCTCCCAGTGTTCCCACCTTGCCTCCCCCAGGGGGACTCTAGCAACTGATACCATGAAGCCATTCTGGTGGCATGAATGGAGCACGTCACGTGAGAAGAGGTGTAAATCCAGACAGGAGCCGCCATGCACTTTGAATCAACCCAGGCCCCTTTTCATGCAAATGAGGGGGGGAAAACACACAAACCAGGGAGTAAAAGATGTGCAGAATGGAGCTCAAAGGCCACCCTGGGCCCCAGTCTGGCTCCAGGAGAGCTTCTGATACTTCTGGTTGCTGAAGCTGGCGAACCATTTATTACGGCTCAGCAGGAGTGGGAACTGTACGGAGGGGCAACTTTCCCATTTTCTTTAAATGGTGTGTTCAGGGGATGTGAGTGATGTGTCTCCAGGAGTCAACAAATCAGGGAAACAAAAGTGTCGCAACCGGGCTTTTCTAAGCAGACTCCAGGCCAAGTTCGTCTTTCAGACCTTGCTCTGCACGGGGAGGGAGTGGGGCTGTTGCCGGGTAGTAGCAGGGCTGCCTGGAGGCGGGTAAGCCTGGAGCTGGAGAGTTTTGCTGTAAAAGTCTCCCTTCAAAGCATCCGTGTCCTGCTCGAGGACTGAAAGGGCATTGCCACTTAAAGAATTTGTTTCACAAATAGTTACCCTGTCCCAGGGACACTGCTGGCCCCTGGAGGAGCTGGACACCATCTCCGCCTTCCATGTGTCCAGGTGTTTGTTTAGGAAGCATTTAGTTAGCACCTGCTGTTTCCGGGCACTGAGTGCCCCTCCGGCTGTGACAGTACCTGCAGTGACTGGGTGAACAGGGCCACCGGCACCTGGCGAGGGATGTTTCTCCCTGTTCTAGGGATCAGCTTGACAGTGGATATATCTACCTCCTTTGTTCTGACTCAACTCTGAATTCCTTCAGCCACCAACTTAGCCACTCTAAATTCATACTTCCTCACTTCCTAAGCACTTCCTGTAGCAGTAAGCCAGCACAGGGCCTGGCAAACAGCAAGCAGTCCCTAGATATTTGTCATGTTTGTAAATGGGATGAGAGGAACAATTCCTCAGGGAATTCAGCCCAGGGCTTCCCTGCCGTCCGCCCGCCCCTCTGAGCCTCGGTGGCCAACCTAACAAGACTGTCCCTCTGCTGTTCTGTCCCAGGAGCGGCTCGTGCTGTCCGTGCTGCCCCGCTTTGTCGTCCTGGAGATGATCAACGACATGACCAACGTGGAAGATGAGCACCTGCAGCACCAGTTCCATCGGATCTACATCCATCGCTACGAGAACGTCAGGTGAGAAAGGCGACGCCCCACCCGTGCGCCATGCGTTCCCTGCGCTGGGCTGCTCTCATCTCGCTGCCGTGACTTCCGTCTGCCTGGATGTCATGCCATTTTTCATTGGTTGGTTAATTCATTAACTAGTTATTACCCATCAGAGAGTTCTACATTTCCAAACAGGCTCGAGAAGAATGTCAGGGAAATGCAGTCATATCTGCTTGCTGACGTGCTGCTTGGCTCCCCTGCAGCGGGCCTGCTGCCTTCACATTCTCAATGGGAAAGTCCAAGCCCTTCCACTGGGGTTGGCAAACTAACCAGAGACATCTGGGGACCTCAGGGTGATCAGCAGCTCTGCTCCTTATATTCCTCATAAGTGTCTTTAAAACAATATGAATACAGGCTACAGCTTTTTTTTTCTTTTTGAAAATGTATTTTTGGCCAACCATGCATCCATCCATCCATCTATCCACTCACCCATCCATCCACCCACCCATCAGTCCATACACCCATCCATGCACTCATCCACCCATCCATGCACTCATCCACCCATCCATGCACTCATCCACCCACCCATCAGTGCCCTCTGAGCCCAGTACTGCCCTGGACAACACGCTGTGCACTGAAAACCAGAGGGTGGACTCCTTACTGAGGCAGAGCAGCTTTAGAATCCCAATTCCACCTCTCCCTCATGTGTGAGCTTGGAGGATTACAGACGCGAGTCTCAGGATCTTTTTCCATAAAATGGGCAGTTTCTATATACCCTGCAGTGAGTAAAGGTCTAAAGAAAGCACAGGACAGGGATGAGCATGCAGTAGAGCACTGGGCATATTGTGCATTGATTCAGACGTGGTTTCTAGTGGCAAACAAAAAAGAACCCAACCTTGGCTGATTTAAAAGAAGTTTCTGAATGGCTACATGGCGGCTCCAGAAAAGTTGGGGAGGGGCAGAGGGGTGGTCTCAGGAACAATCTGGAATAAAGCCAGAAGCATGGCGGAGCACAAGGCCAGTGAGGACCCGCTTCCACTGTTTCCGAAGAGTTCATTCCCTGTCCTCATACAGCTGTCACCTCTGCAGTGCCTCAGTGCCCCAGGATCTGGATATGGCTGCCTTTGCCCACTCCTTACCCTCCCCCGGCCTGCCTCTTTGCAGGTCAAGTTAAAACCTGGGGCTGGTGTGGCCCACTGGCAGAGCCCCGTCACTGGCAAGAAGAGACTGGGAAGCAAATGGCTGGCATGTTCAACTTGGACAGCAGAACTGCATTGCCTTCCCACCAAATGCCATAGGGCGGAAATTTCCCAGACGTAGGGGGAAGTTCACACATGGCTCTGAAAATGCCAGTCTGCCTTCTCAGTTCCTTGCTTCCCACCTTTGTGGGGGAGGAGGAAGAACATTTCCCACATACCAGCACCTCTGGCTGCCCTACACTCATTTCGAAGCAAGGCCAGCAGAGGGCGTGATTCTCACACCTCCCTGTGGCGGGAGAGCCTGTAGAGGTGGTCCCCTGGGTCACATTCAAGAGTGGAGCAACCCTGCCTTAGACGCTTGAGTCTATAAAGGGTCCCTCATCATACGGCAGCGTTGGTGAGAGGTACACACACCCCAGATCTGGGAATCGGTCCACAGATCATGGGACTCGTCATTACCAATTCTAGAACAACAGGTTCCGGGCAGTACCTATAATTACAATACAGTGTGGGCTCTATTATTACAGTAAGCAAAGGGTGCCAAGGAAGCATGAGGCGAGGAAGCCCTGTGGGGGGAGAGGGGGCGGCGAGAGGTGGAGGGTGCCGGTGGGTAGAGAACCCTTTCAAAAGAGATGGTTCTTATTTGCCTCAGTTAAAACTGAGTCAGCCAAGTGAAGAGGACAGGAAGCCAGGCAGAGGGGGCACACAAGACCGAGGGTCTATAGTTATGCCTAGACCTGGATAGAAAAGATGTGCATTATCTATTAATATAAAAGAGGGAAAATATCAACATATGACAAATTATGAGAGTGCCTGTCACCATGGAGAAAAAGATGGGGGGAAACTAACCTTAAGGAAAAAAATGGTGAAAATACACAAGCCAGCTCACCCATACCCACAGGCTGGGGACCCTCAAGTTCAAGAAACAGCACCTTTGGCTTTCTCTCTGCACTAGTCAATTTCAGTGCTGCCTCTGTCCAGAATAACGGAAGTTATTTCCACCCCCTCCATCCACCCATTTATTTCAAACCACTGAACTGAGGTCTGATGCTCCGAGACCCTTTCCTGAGTTCACAACACACTCCATCAAAATTGAGTTTACTGCCCACATTTCTCAGTGGCCTGGGCTCGCGGCAAAGGATCCCTTTGTAAGGGGAGAAGAATCTAGAGACCCCACTGCGCACAGGGCCTCTCCCAGCACTTCCCTGAGGCAGCTCCCACGGGTCCTGGGCAGATGAACTCATCCGGGGGTGGTGGGCCTGTGCAGCCCACGGCAAGGCTGCGGGTGCTAAAATAAGACCAGAGATGGAGAAGGCGGAGGAGGGCCGTCCTTGGCCTGTATCTGAGAGCAAAGTCAGACCGGCTGCTCCGCCCGTTCCCAGCCCCCGGAGCGCACCCGCTGTGGAGTAGGGAGCATCTCTGAAATCATTTCTAAATCTGTCCCTCTCTTCATGGCCACCCACCCGGTTCATCGCCTCCCATCAGCAGGGTACACAGGAGGCACCACACCACGCCTGGGGACATCCGTGGGCCCAGGGGACGGGGAGCCTGCGGACCAGGCTCTCATCAGGAAGACTGCCTGTGAGCCACGGCCCCTACAAGACATTGGCTGCATCCTTTCGTCTCTCTGGGTTTGCTTCCTAAGCCAAAGCATGAGCTGTCTGAAAGGGTCCAAGCATTTAGACTCCAGTTGATTTCGTCCATACACAGCTGAGATGTCTACAACGAGATCCCGGCACTGGGCTTTGTACAGGAAGCCTTTTCGGCTTCCAGCCTCATCTGCCCAATTCTATCCCCTTCCTGTGTCCTCCCCCGCCCACTTCCCCGCCCGGTACATGTAAGACACTTCCCGTATTAGTTAGGCCCTGCTGTGCACTCTAACACAGAACCTCCCAGTTTTGATCATTGAAACTCCATATAGTCAGTGGATGTGAGTGATGAGTCTCAACTGTCCACGGCTAATATTCCTGGTGGGTGGCTGATTCAGGCACAGAGGCCCCTGCATGTTACAGCTGTGCCAACCCCTGGCATTTAGCTCTTGGAGGGAAAAGAGCAGAAAAGGCCCACCTGTTTCTTGACCACCTTGGCGGAGAAATGGCAAGGATCACTTCTGCTCAGATGCCACTGATGAGCCCTGATGGCATGGCTCCACCCAGCTACCCGAGTGGCACAGAGTCCCTGACTCGGCGGTCTTTGCTAGGGCAGGGCGGCGTGGATTTGCTGGACAGTAGCTTCTCTGCCAGGCCTCTCTCCCCCCTTTCCTCCACCCCAGCCCCTGCCACGTGGTTTGCACATTCTCAGTCCACCCGCTTTGGGCTGTTTATTTCCCGCCAGGCCTGCCAGCGTGCGCACTCGCCACATTCGCCCTGCAGACTAGAGTCCCATGGACAAGCGAAATGAAATTGAATGAGCCCAGAAAACTGGGTGCCTCTCGAGGCCTGTCTGTGTGGCAACCTATTAATCCCTCGCTGGTCCCCAAACTTCCCACAGCTGTTATGTGTCCTCTACTTACTGAGGACCGTGGCGTGATTTATCGGCTTCTTCTGACAGCAGAGTAGCTTTAATCATTGCACTATTGTCGAGAAAGTGGAAGCTCGAGGGATTAGATGCGTTTCCCTGGAACACACAGCTAGGGAGACGAATCTACACAGTGTTCCTAATGATTCTAGTGGCTTCTGCTAAAGCCTCTTTGAAGACTCTATTTGCAGAGCGACTGTTAGGTAACATCACTTATTTTTAGCCAAATAAACAACTTATATAACCAAATTAGAGTTGGAAATTAATACGGTCCTGTCAGTATATTCCAAGATGAATATCTTGGAAGGTTACAAATTTACACTTAGAAACAAAAGGCCCTGCCTTGAGCCCAGCACGTGGGGGCAGCAGAATGAGCAAGGCAGTGAGAGCCAGGGCCCGGCTTCTGCTTCTGGTCTTTCCTTCAACTCACTCTTAGTGCACGCGTGTGCCTCAAGCCAGTGCTTCTCGGACTTGACCGCGCGCACGCGCACAAGAATCACCTGAGGCCCTGGTTTTGTCCGAGTGTGACCCAGCGGGTCTGGGTGGTGGCCGGGACCACAGTCTGAGGAAGGAGGTCCTGACGCTGACCATGTCTGTTGATTCAACTCAGAAGACAGGTCATGAGTCTTAACATATGATGGAATCATGAAGGACAAGCAGGATTTTAACAAGCAGCAACGGGAAAGAAAGCTATGGTGGGGAGCAGGTGCACTGCACAGATGCAGGTGCCCCCTTGTCCTTCCTGAACCCCTGGGTGCACTGTCTCAGCCGGGATGTCTGCTAAATACGGCAGGGAGAGCGAACATCCCAGACCACGGCTGACTTCTCTGCCGATGTTGGTGTATGTCCCGGATGATTTAAAACCTTAATGCGCTTTCTCCCCACCCCACCCCTTCCCTGTTGTCTAGTATTCTTTTTGCAGATGTTAAAGGATTTACCAACCTCTCCACGACCTTGTCCGCTCAGGAGCTGGTCAGGATGCTCAACGAGCTCTTTGCCCGATTCGATCGACTGGCCCACGTGAGTTGAATTTCATTCCCTGCTTGTCTTTGGCGGGAGTGGGGACTGCATGTGAATGAGGGGAGGACTCAGCCTTCGCTGCCAATGTCATTACTGTTCTGCATCCTGTCCCTGGGCGTGGCCCCCTGATCCTCACACATTCTGGGGATTAGTGTTAGTTACTGACAGGTCTCGGATGGGAGGTTTGACAGATGAATCTTCCCAGTGGAGAGACAGCTGGTTGAGTGACAATTAAACCGAGTCCTTTTGAACCGCTTCCACCCCAGCATCATGTCCGCCGGAGTGGCCAGGTGCCACCCAGCTGCCCTGGTTCGTGCGGAGGTGGCTGCCTGCCGTTCCCCAGCCGACCCGGCCATGGGGACTGAATTCGCCGGTTCTCAAGAAACAGTGGTCCACTGGGCCCCACTGTGTTTGACCTTACTTAAGAGCTTTGCTGTGTTAGCCAAAGAGACACCACCTTTATTTTCAGTTAGCTGATCAGAGCTCAAATAGAAAACAGGTTAAAAGAGATGACCATTTGCCATCGAAACACAGATTCCTGGTCCTAAAGCCACTTGAGTGATGGAGGGTGAGTTACTTCGTCCTTCTTGGTAAAGGGTGTGCATCACAGCCAGCTTCACAGGCTGGTGGGAGTTCCATGAAACCACATTGAGGGGAGTGCATTCTCCGGGCACTGAAAATGTCCTGTTTTGGCTGCCTCGCCCCAACAGAGAGCCATTCATACTGGAATCTGAGCACCTCTAGGGGTGGTGCGTGGGGCTCTGTGCTGGGAGTATGGGAATGACTAAAGCACACGCCTTCCCTTCCCAGAGCTAAGTCCAGCTGGGGCTACATAAAGAGGAAAGCAGTGCACGATGTGATGTGTGCAAAGGTACATCTGGGTGACCCGGGACTGCAAAGGTGACACAGAACCCTTGGTCAGAGATTTCCAGGAGAAAGTGGCACTTAGGCTGAGTCTTAAAAATTAGAGAACAACATAGATCACGATTCAGCAACGAAACGGAGCAAGCCTCTGATACCTGCCAGACCATCACTGAGTCTCCAACACAATATGCCAAGCGAAAGAAGCCAACCCAAGATACAGATGACGTACCCCTGAAATCTATATCATTTTATGAACGAGATCACCCCAATAAATTCAATAAAAAATAAAATAAAGGAAAAAAAAGAAGCCAGACGCAAAAGGCTAAACATTTTATGATTCCTCACATAAGCCATTCTCGAAAAGTCAAAATTACAGGGACAGAGACGAGCTGAGTGGTTGCCAAGTGGAGGGTGTGGACTGACTGCAGGGCAGCATGGGGTGCGGTGATTTGGGGGTGATGTGGGTGCTCTATATATGAGCAGGGCTCTTCACACTTAGGGAAAGGGTGACTGTTACTTATTTAAGTTATATATCAATTAGCGAGGTAAAGAAGATAGGGAATGTCAGCCGGGAGAATAAAAATAAAGATGCCAGCTACTCAGAAACCAGAAGAGATTCAGCATTGCCGGAGGGAAGGGGTGAGGTGCGCTACACAGACAGGCGGGGACCCGCCAACAACCCGCAGAGGAGCCTGCAGCTCCCGGACAATGCTAACTAGGGCACTAACTGGGCAGCGGAGGAGGTGGGGACTGAGGTCTCTCCTAATACAAGAGCTGGGTTTACTGAAGGGCTGGGAACTGGGAGGTGGGGAAGAATATATACCACCTTTTGATTGTTGCATCAGTGGGGGCTGGTGTGTTACGCATAAATCATTCTACTTCATATTATGGTTGTGAATATTTCTGCTCAGAGACGCTAAGATGGATAGACATGACTCTCCCGCGAGGACTGACAAATGTGACCAAGGTTAATTTTTAGTGTCGCCACAGACGCCGCTGACTCAGGGAACGGGTTGAGTAACAGTTAATGCAAGTTGTTCAACCAACATTTATTGACAACGTACCACATGCCAGGGAACATGCAGGACTCTGGGAAGGCAACGCCAGTCCCTGCCCTCAGGGAGCTCTGAGTCTGGTAAGGGAGACGACCAGCCCGTCATGACTGCAGGACAGTGCGGTGCGAGCAATGACAGGCACAGGGTGGGGGACGAAGGGAAGCCCAGCCAGATGCTGGGCAGGTCTGGGGGTGATGGTGTTGGTGATCCGGCAGCACACAGAGAAGAGGGCCTCTGCACACTGGGGCCTGAGAAAGAGGAAGAGCTTTGCTGGCATCAGATGAGAGGAGGAGGTGCCTTCTAGGCTGAGCCATGGGGCAAAGGCAGGGGAGTGTGAAAATGCAACACTGTGCTACTGGCGTGGGAGCTAGAAGGAGCTCAAGATTGTCAGAGCGTGGAGGGCGAGGGCAATGAGAGGCGAGCCTGAGGGCCTGGCGTGACGTCTGAGGGAAGGTGGAGTTTGTCTCGGTGCCTGGGCTTTTCGCCTGGCTCCTGTCCACACGGTGGGGGAGAGGAGCAAAGGAAGGTACACGGCCAGTGATCCCCACTGGGCACAAGATTCTGTAGTCCACCTTCTGGGGTATTACTCTTATTGGAAGGTTTTAAAGGGAAAATACCTATCAAATTAAGCACAGATAGGTGATGGAGTAAAGTTATTATTAATTTGATAAGATTATTAAATATGAATAAAATGCCCTTTTTAATGCATTGTGATGAGTGTTTTCCCTGGCTTGCCTAACTTAGTTCTCACAACAAATCTACAAGGCAGTGTCTTTATTATTCCCATTTTACAGAACAAGTGACTGAGGCTCAAAGAAGTCAAATAATCTGCCCAGAAGCACCGGTAGGTGGTGCATCTGGGATCCAGACCAAGGCCAGGTGCCTCCATGATAATACACATATTCTTCATGACTAATTTGGATGGGGAGGGGCAGATAGGAACTACCTTACTTTACTAAAGGATCAGGCATTTTAGGGGGTGGAACGGGAGACCTCAGAGATGGGTTGCTGCCTCTGCAGGATGGCTTGAAGGGTTCGAGTGAGGCCAGACTTGAATATTCCTTGTGCAATTCCCCTCTCTGCATCTCAGTTTCCTATCAAAGGTGTGATGAAGGATAAATGACACAACACTGTGAGATGCTTCACACACAGGCTGCTCCAAATAAGGACTCCGTGCCGTTAGCGCTCGGCAACGCCAAGTCCCCCCGCCCCGGGTGCATCAGTACCTGCTGCCCTAGGAGACCTCGGTGGGAAAGTTGAATAGTCTCTGCCAGGGAAAACAAGTCCACTCGGGAAGGAGAAACCCCACCGTAAATGCATTTACCCCACAACTTGCCCCTTGAGCATCCTTTAGCACCAAAATCCTCTGCCTTTGTAATGACCTTTCTCTCCTGGCCACGAGTCTTTGCTTTAGATTTCCCTTATGTTGCACATCAGAGAGAACCCACCTCCCATGCAAATGGCACACACTGCACCTGTTTACTCACTGCGTTATTAAAATACAGGGGAAACCTCACAGCCACCTGTTAGAGATCCTCTTAGCGTGATCCAGTTGCTCAGTTTCCCCGTGGTTAGGGCTGCTCAGAACAGAGCACTGTGACCCTTGACCCTTTGGCAAACTCCCATTTTAGGGGGTTTGGTCTCTGTCACTTTTGCTCTTTGATCTTTTTGTAAAATAAAGTAATTCCTACCTGCCCCTCCCCATCCAAATTAGGAATGAAGAATATGTGTATCATTAGGAAGTCTTTAAAATTGTAAAGCGAAAAACATACTGATTTGTTAACATGATTGACCTCAATACAGCTTAAACCTTTCTTAAAATGACTGACAAAACTGGAAGCACCGAAACTGCTATTATAAAGAACAAATCGAACCCAATGGAAAGCTAATCAACAGATTAAAATCAAGGAGAGAGCTGCTTCTGTACTAACATCGAAAGAATTTCAAGGTATTTGCTGCATGAAAAAAAGCATGTCTCAGATCTATGGACATGGATTGATAAATCTATGGCTAAGAGCAGCCGTGGGCAAACTACGGCCCGCGGGCCGGATCTGGCCCGTTTGAAATGAATAAAACTTAAAAAAAAAAAAAAGACCGTACCCTTTTATGGAATGATGTTTACTTTGAATTTATATTAGTTCACACACACACTCCATCCATGCTTTTGTTCCGGCCTCCGGTCCAGTTTAAGAACCCATTGTGGCCCTCGAGTCAGAAAGCTTGCCCGCCCCTGGCTAAGAGCATGAAAACTAGTCATACGCAACCATGGAAATGTACCTGTGAAAACCAGCAGCCTCGGAGGGGACTGAGACCAGGTCCCCAGGGGCGGTGGGCCTGAGCGCCAGGGGCTGGGCGGGGGCTTACCAGTCTCACTGCTCGTGGACAGTACAGTCTTCTGTTGTTTCTGTAATCACAACGAGACAACGTCATGTTCTCTAACACAGCTATTTTAAGTGCATGAACTGCACCGATGTTTTTGTTCCAAGAATCTTCTCTCTTTTTATTTTTTATTGATTTTTTTCTCTGATTACAAAAGCAATGCTGCTCCTTATATAAAATTTAAACGCCAAAGATATAGACAACACAGGAAGCACACATCCCTGTCGCCCTCGCCCTGCCCAACCACGGAACCGTCTTTGATAACTGGGTGTACAGATCTAAGATTTATCTACACAAATGGTTTCACACATCCTCGGGATTTCCCAAGATATTTATATCAAAGCCATCGAGATGGGAGGAAAAGGATTACATAAAGACTAACTCAAGAAACTCTGCAAGAAGACCCTCGCCCTACTTTATTTTTCCTCTTCAATATCTCTTTTCAAAGCTACCTGGCTTCCTTAATCTGAACTTTACAAAGCAATTTCGGATAAGAGGAAGTTGCTTGCCTATTACTATCAAGTCACCTGACAGCTCATAGAAATTGATCAGAAAAATATGTCTGCAAATTGACAGATAAGAAGACAGGCTTCCACGTATTAGTCAATGAAGGGAAAATACCACATGATCTCACTCATTCATGGATAATAGAGACCATTATAAACTTTTGAACAATAATAGATACAGAGGCAGAGCTGCCTCAAACAGATTGTCAAACTGCAGCGGGAAGGCCGAGGAGGGTTGGGGGGCAGGAGGTAGGGGGGTAAGAGATCAACTAAAGGACTTGTATGCATGCATATAAGCATAACCAGTGGACATAAGACATTGGGGGATAGGGGAGGCTAGGGGACTGTCTAGGGCGGGGGGATAAAATGGACACATATGTAATACCCTTTGTAATACTTTAAGCAATAAATTAAAAAAAAAAAAAAGAAGAAGAAGAAGAAGACAGGCTTCCACGTATTATATGCATGAAAGAGTGCGGATGTGGAAGGCTGACTTGAGCATTTTGGTCTCTCCGGGGGGTGCCGGAACCAATGCCCTGCAGTTACCAAGGGATGGCTGTAGGTAGTTAGGTTTTGGGGAGTCAAATGTTTATGTGGATTTTTGACTGTGTGGGTGGTGAGTGCCCCTAAGTTTCACATTGTTCAGGAATCAGATACACACACACACACACACACACACACACAAATACAGCAATATAGTGAGCTTTTATAATGTTAATTTAATTTAGTGCAAATAACTTTCCTTTATTCTAGGAATATCTTTTTTTTTTTAAATAAAGTGCTGGTGTAGTCGATGGTGGTTGGGTTGTTATTTTGGTTTGTTGATAGGTTTTTCATACTTCCTGGTCAAATAAAAAATTGAGCCCTCCAGCTGTCCCTCTGGCCCTCTGGTTTTTTAGTAACTGTCCCATCGACTCCATTAATCTGGAAACTGCCAGGTCTAGTGGGCGAAGGGCTCCATCTTGGCCCGGAAGCTGTAGGGGTCTCAGAGGAAGCAGAGGAAGGGCCTAGGCGCCGCTGACTGACCAGACCTCTTCGGTGGCTCTTTTGCAAAATTAGCAGCATTGAAGCAGCCAATAGCCAGGAACCACAGGCTCCTAAGAATAGCCCTGGGAAGGCTGTGCGTGCCCTCAGAGTTCCGAGGGTGGCATCTGTGCCTATTTGGGAGGGTTGGCCCTGGAGATCGGATTCAGACTAGAAGCACCAGAGCCCGTTCCGAGTCTCTTTGCTTGTCTGACGCTTGCTTTTCACTGGGGGCGGGGCTCAGTCCACCCTACACATCCTTTCACCCAGGCTTTTAAGTGCATTCATTTGTAACCGAAACATAACGGCCTGACTCCTGCTGAGGTTAGGAGGCCAGCGCAGTGCTTTACAGCCTGGCTATACAAGGGCCTCCATGGTGCTGCTGGCACCTCCCCTCCCCCTGCCCTTGGGCCCCACCCCATAAGGAGGGCCTCTTACCCACAACACACAGACCCGTGCTCCTGGGGCTTCAGGTCTGGAAGGCATCTCAGGGTCATTCAGTCTCACCCATCTACCCAAGGAAACCAGAAGGGAGAGTCATCTGCCCTGGGTCACAGATCAGAGAGGTGAAGGACTGGCACAGGGGTCCAAGTCCTCATCACAGAGGCAGGCCACATTAATCTAGTGCCCCCTCCACTGGGCCCTGCACTCAGTCTTTCCATGTTAATCCTCACAGGCATGATGAGACGGGTCCTATTCTTGTTCCCACTTTACAGATTAGGCAACTGAGGCTCAGAGGTTAAGCAATTTAACTAAAGACACAAGAAAGACGTAGGGTGCCTGGGATCTGACCCTGAGCAGTGTGACTCCTCAGCCAATGCTCTCAGCCCCTATGCTGCAACTTTCAGACAGTTTCTGCGCAGTACGAAGTTTGCACCTTTTCTTTGGGGTTTGTTATGTTTTGAAACTTTGTAAAAATCATGTGTTCAAGATTGTGAAGCCACGAAACAACTGTGTCCCGCTTCTAAGACACAGTTAGCCCGTTCTTAAGGTGCCAGTAACCTACATGGGAAGAGACTTAACATAGAGTTGAAATAGTAGAAATCTCTCCTAATAAACGATTGATGATTTTAAGTGCTTGTTGTTGAGCTAAAGACTGCTAAAGCCCATTAATTCAGAGGCTCGGCCAGAGAAGAAAGACAGTGCTGGGGATAGGATTCCCAGGGGAACACGCAGGTTGAATGCCCGCTCTTTGCCAGGCCTGTCCACATGATGGGTGTTCAGATCAGAAAGCTAGTGCCCGGCAGCGCTAAGATACGGTGCTGAATCTGTCAAGGTCAATATCCAGGGTCTTTCCATATCTCCACTCTACCTCTGAGCCCTTCAAACCCTACTTAGGGTAACGCCTCATTCCCTAGGAAGATAACGCAGGTACAATGCGAAGGTGGGTCCCTGACCCCCGGTGCAGACCACCTGACCTTGCTTCCCTCCTCCAAGCCGCTCTGGAGCCCTGGCCCATCTGCGGACTCAGTCCTTGCCTCTCCATCTGTTCCTTCCAGGAGCATCACTGTCTTCGCATCAAGATCCTGGGGGACTGCTACTACTGCGTCTCCGGACTTCCGGAGCCCCGCCAGGACCACGCCCACTGCTGCGTGGAAATGGGCCTCAGCATGATCAAAACCATCAGGTAACTCGGGGTCTCCCTCATAATGCCAGGCTTTCGATGCGCATGACGGGAGAGGCAAACACTCCATCTATCCTTTGCGGTCGATCGCATGCATGTTGAAAGGTGACGCCCTGATTTGTTTCATGAGCACTGCGTATCCATTGCTTCTCCCAGATGAACCTAGTAGTTTCAGGATGTTCGATTTATACCTCACTTCCAATTGTTTGTGCAACAACTTTGAATTACCAATGTCCTCGTGGGGATACAGCGAGGAACAAGACGAGCGGAACGCTCGCCTTCAGGGAGGCTACGGAGCCGTGGGAGGGACGAGCACATAGGCACTTTCAAGATGGAACAATAAGCTCTGTGATGAAGCAAACCCAGGATGCTTGTGGGGAATAAAGAAGGAACAGCTCATTCAATCCTGGGCGCTGGAGAAGGCTCTGCAGAGCAGAACGTCTGAGCTGTTTCCTGAAAAGTGAGTAGACATTAGCCAGATCCTGAGGGGGCACGAGAGCCTGGAAGACAGCACTGGCAGGTGCCGCGATCAGGAGCTGGGACCTGGGGAGGAACGGGTGTTGGCAGCGCACTGCAGCCGGAGCAGCGAGGGGCTGCAAGGCCTCCTGGGCCATTAAGGGGCTGGACATTATCCTACGGCCAAAAGGAAATCATTAAAGGGCCACCCCAGGGTGGGCCTCATGGGTATGCAACAGCAGAACTCCCCAGAGTTTGTTTTGAACTTTCTTCATTTTAGTTTTCATTTTGTATTCAGGTATAACTGACAAATAAAATTGCACATATTCGAAGGGCACAATGTGATGATTTGATATACGCATAACATTGTGAAATGACTAGCGCAATCAAGCTAATTAATATCCATCACTTCCCATGGTTATCTTTTCCTCTTCCTTTTTTTAAGAGAACGCTAAGATCTACTCTCTTAGCAAATTACCAGTATACACTGCACTATGATTAAGTATAATCACCCTGCCATACATTTAATCCCCAGAACTTATTTTTATAACTAAAATTTTGTACCTTTGACCAACATCTCCTCCCTTCCCCACCTTCGTGCCCAGCAACCACCTGCGCACTCTGTTTCTTTGAGTGCGACTTTTTTTTAGATTCACATATCCAGTATTTGTTGTTGTTGTTGTTGTTTCTATCTGGCTTATTTCACTTAGTACAATGCCTTCCAGGCTCATCCATGTTGACGCGGTAACAGGATTCCCTTCTTTTTTAAGGCTGAGTAATATTTCATCATGTATTTATTTTATGACCTTCCTTATCTAATCATCCACATCTTCTTTGTCTCTTCATGCACAAACTTGCCATAGAACTTTGTATGTTGAGCTTAAGCAATAGGTATGCTGCAGAGATGGCACTGCGGGAGAAATGAACAATGATGATCAGAATTCTTTAAGAGAATTAGAGCATTGCCACTTATCTTTCTGGAGAGGATCTTGTCCCTCCTGGCCATTTTCTCTGACTCACGGTCTCCTTTCTGAAGTTCTGCAGTGGCAGAGTGAGAAATGAGATGTGGGCAGGTTGGAATGACTCAGGGCTTCTCTCATTGATACATAATAAAGAGTGCTGCTTTTACTCCTTTGGAATAAGACGATTCGGTGGGATACTTTTCAAGCTGCGTGAGTCAGAGTCTATTAATGCCCGAACATCTCCCGGATTATACTGTAGGGGACTGAGGTCCAGCATTAATTCTCCCAGTTAACAACACGGCGCGGCGCAGCGGGAAAGCAAGAGCTCTGGGCTTGGGCGAGCCTTGGTTGCCACTGGCTCAGCCTTCTAGAGTTTCCACTCTGCTGTCAGGCCTGTCCTCTCGGGAATGCCTGGCAGACAATATCTGCACACAAATGTGTGTGGAAGAGAATCCCAATGATGTCGCTCCATCAAATAATTAACCATCTTAACCAACTGTTACTTACAAGGGATGCAACTTTTTATTCAGCCCAAAAGAGTCTGGAACCGTGTGGAGCAGTATACTGCAAGGGTTGTAATGCAATGTCAATGTCAATTACCCATTTGTTGACTGGTTTCCCCAGACCAGATGGCCACCTGTGTAACTGTCATCACAGATGGATCCCTGTGGAGGTATGTCCCCACCCTGTCAGGGTCTGTCCTTGTCCCTCTTTCTGACCTTTCCTCGGAGTTAGCATCCCAACAGTAGTCCCACAATGCAGCACGGCTATAAGAGGCTGGTGCTTTGAACATGAGGCGGCATCGACATCTTGGCTCTCAGGATCCCAGGGGCTCCGGTAGTTTTTTTGCTTCAAGTGACATGATAATTCTTGCCCAAAAGCAAACCAACTCAAAGGGACCCAGGTCCCTTATTCACAGATCAGTCCAAATATGTGAGAGAGATTCTGTCAATCACAGACAAGTGGGCACAGGGTGCCAACATCAGGATGGCTGGACTTAGCTGCCGTTGGTGCTAATTCAAACATCACAAGTTTCAGAAGTGAGTGAGAGTCAAGACAAGCAGAAGCACAAACGTGAGGGAGACCACTTCCCTGTCTTTGTCTTTTACTGGGGTGTTGCTACTGTAGTCCTTTGGATGGAGAACCAGTAATTGCTTCTGGTGCCTGAAATCTGACATTTATACCCAAAGGATCATTTCGACCCAAAGGATCAGCTTAGGAGACCTCACATACATCCCTAACAAATTAGCAGAACCAATACTGAAAGTGGAGAAAAGTCCGCAAACGTCAGAATAGCAAAATAATGAGTCTTAGTCAAGCCTCAGATTGAATTTATTCCATTAAAAAACATTTGATTTTAGAAACATATTAGCTAGATGAATGACAAAAAAAGCAATGGCATGTAACTTTATTTCTAATGAAGCATTTAGTGTCGTCTTATGCATACCTGTTCATAAAATTAATTAAAATCGGCTTACATAATGGCTCCAGGTGGCTCCTCTTCCCATGCCCTGGTCTATTCCGGTGAGGCTTGATGGCTGAGAAGACACCACATTATGGTGGGCTCCGTTATAAGCAATATCTTTATGAATGATCTACAGAAGTCTTCCTTGGTGAACTTAATGAAAATCACAGAGCCTGGTCTTTTCAATGCAGCCACTAAAATGTCATAGGATGACACCGGAAGGCCAAGCAGGAACTGGCTTGTCCCTGGCTGGTAACTTGGAGCAAAGGTCTTAATCCCTGTGCAGGGTGGCCCCCAAGCAACATGGCAGGACAAGGGATGAAAAACAGGAGTTACTTTGCTTTCCTCACTTGCAAGGATGCCCAGGCTCTCTGCATGCCTTCCTTTCTCTTGCCCTCTTTCTTATTACTCTTCCTTTTCACTTTTTCTTCTCTCCATCAGCTCTCTTCCATCCCTTTCCTCCTCCTCCTCCTCCTCCTCCTCCTCCTCCTCCTCCTCCTCCTCCTCCTCCTCCTCCTCCTCCTCTTCCTCCTCTTCTTCTTCTCTCCCTCTGCTCCTAAAGCCCCCTTTCTCACCATTTCTGAAATGCTATTAACTGCAGCATCCACAAGACCACATTCCTCTTAAAAATTCAGCAATTACAGCAATCTTGAGTCAATGGGTAATTTATTGTTTTGCAAAAGTATTTACAATGGTGAAGATTGAATATATCTAGTAATTTCGATTAAATGTTCACCTTGTACCAGGCAGACACTGTACTAAATGATCTTCCTAACTCGCCTCACCTAATTCAGAACCCTGTGAGGAAACTGCTCGTACTTCCCCCAATTTTCAGAGGAGGAACTGATGCTCTGATAGGATAAATAACTTCTGATGCACAGCTTGTAAGCAACGCCATAAATGCCCAAAGGCAGGGAAACGGTGAGATTAATTTTGGCATACTACAAAATAGGAAAATGGGTAAGCGTCATGATTTACATTAATATTTACCAGTAACAGCATAAGAAAATGCTTGTGCGTTTAACGAAGTATGCATTGCAGAGTACACACACACACACACACACACACACACACACACACACACATCGTTTAGGGCAACCTCAGCTTTTTAAAATATCTATTTTTACAGAAAGAGAGAAGGTCCTAAAACTCTGTGGTGGGAAATGGGTGGCTGGGTCTTTCCTCTCGCTTTCCCTCACTAGGTCCACGCTGTTTTGGGACAGGTATCGACATTAGTCTTCCCATGTTGTGTCCACCCCCAAAACAGGGGACTACAGCTGAAGGGATACAGGCAGCAAAGTGTCTAAAGGGCACTCGGCCTTGGGCCCTTCCTTACTGACCTTGAGCGGGTGATTTAACCTCTCTGTCCAGCTTCCTTAGTTCACCTCCGTCACTAACTCCCTCCAGAAAGGTCAAGGGCACTGTTCCTCCCAGGTAGCTGAGGACCAAACACTCAGTTCTTTCTACATCATCAACTAGTTCAACCTTTTGAAGCAACTTACATCTAGGAGCTGCACAGTTGGTATATCAAATGGGTTGGTAGAAGCTATTGCGATGTAACTAGAACACATGCAAGCACAGTTTTAGCAAGAAGGGTAAAGTGATCAAATGCATAATTTTTGATCTGCTTCAACCTGTGTAATTGTTGTGTAATTATACGTTGGTATTGCTAACAAAAGTCAGTAGTAGCCACTATGCTTATGTTCAAATAGTACCAGGTGAAGTGCTTTATCCACATGATGTTATAAACCATGCTAACAACTCTGCGGAGGACTGGTGCTCGCTCCCATCACCCCTGAGAAAACTGGGACTTGGACACTAATAGAGCAGTTGCCCAGGGCCTACAGCCAGTGAGTGGAGAATCCCACCCGCACACCAGGCTGCTTTGATGCAGATCCCAGGCCCCTTGGTGCCGGTGAGTGCTCTGCACTGAGCAAGCCTATGGCAGTTGCTCCAGCTCCCACACCAGCCAGTGGTAGGTCCAGCTTGGAACTCCTGTCTGCACCCCCAGAGCTGAGGAGCTGAGTGTTCTCCACCCCACAGTCCCGCATGCGACTCTGCTGAAGTCTCCCCTGCTCATCCAGGCATTTCACAGTGGAGAGAGTCTCATCCACAGACCAAGGGCGGCTACTAGGTTATTCCTCCTGTCATTCCTCCAGCACCTTCTGTAGACGGATTCATTAGCCAAAAAGAGCCACTTAAAGCACTTAAATTGAAAGCAAAAATTCTAAGGTTCTTCATCTTTTTTTTAAACCTCAGTTTCTATTTATTTTCAGAAAGAGGGAGAAGAGGAGGAGGAGAAGGAGGAGGGGAAGGAGGGGGGAGGAGGAGGAAAGGAAGGAGGGGGGGAGGGGAAGGAGGAGGAGGAGGAGGAGGAGGGACCTCGATGCGAGAGAGACACATCAATTGGTTGTCTCCTGCATGAACCTTGACCCAGACCAGGGATTGAGCCTGCAACCGAGGTCCGTGCCCTTGTCAGGGAATCAAACCCGTGACCCTTCGGTTGGGCGGGCTGACACTCTTACCACTGAGCAAAACCGGCCAGGGCATAAGGTCCTTCATCTCTGACCATATACCAAGCATTCCTCTTTAACAGTTCAATGAAAAGGAATATGATCTTCAATCTTTTTCTGGTTAAGTTTTGCATGATTGGTTCCCAGCTTGATATAGAGCTTCAAAAAAAATAATAATTATTATTAAGTGAGTTCCTTATTTAAAAGAAATCTTAGAAATGCAACACGAAAACCGGGAAGGCAAAGGTGCATTATTTGAAGGGGTCAGATGTGGAGGGTCACCCCCACTCCCCAAATGGCAGATCCAGAGACATCTCTGTGGTTCCCTTAGACCAGGGGTGGGCAAACTTTTTGACTCGAGGGCCACAATGGGTTCTTAAACTGGACCGGAGGGCCGGAACAAAAGCATGGATGGAGTGTTTGTGTGAACTAATATAAATTCAAAGTAAACATCATTACATAAAAGGGTACGGTCTTTTTATTTTTAGTTTTATTCATTTCAAACGGGCCAGATCCGGCCCGCGGGCTGTAGTTTGCCCACGGCTGCCTTAGACGCATCTTGGGTCAACAGAGGACTGTGAAGCTAGAGAGCCTTTGAGCCGCGTCCATCAATTCAGTGACTACTAGAGCACTGGCGATGCCGCTGTGCTAAGCACTGTGCTACATGCTGGGCATGTGGAAATGAAAGGTAGTCCCTGTCCTCCAGAAGCTCAGAGGCCCCAGAGAAGAAAGAGTGGGTGCAGGTGTTTATAGTGCCAGCGATCTCTAGTCTTTTCCCTTTATTTGTGGCTGAGGAGGTACAGCTGACATCCCTGGAAGAACGGAACACAATTTGTAACTCAGCAGAATTTGCTCCCCTCTCACTTGAAGATGCTCCCAGGTCCTCCCCTGGAGAGCCTGAAACACATGGTGCGTGTCGGTGGCTCTGTGTGACCACCAGGTCGGCTTCCCAGAGAGGATCAGCATCTGTGAATTATTCATTACTTTTACATAGTTTCATTCCTATCTTTTATGTAAGCCAAATCCCAGACATAACAAAAAGAAAACGGTGCCATAAAGAGATTTTGTCTCTTATGATTTTTCTTTTGCAGAAGAAAAAAAAATCTAAGTGTCTTTTCATTGAGATGTTCCAGTGTGTTCCCTGTGTAATGTTAATTACCTAATGGCCCTGGCATGGTGTGCTGTGTACTCGTCCCTCACAATTAGTCAGCAAAGCACTCTAACATCCATTATCTCCTGTGGGACTCACCGGGGCTCTGTATGTGAAGCAATCAGCTAGAGCTTTATTTACAACCACTGAAACTCAAGGTCACCTTAAGCTATATGCCAAGGATCACACACCACGTTGCAAAGAGCGTGAGGTTTAAAACAAAACAGCCCCAGGTTAGTCCTAGAATCCTATGTGACCACAATAAAATCCTGTACCTTCCTGGGCTGCAGTTCCTTCATATATGGAAAGCAGCTAAGTAGTACTCAGTATGTGCCAGACATTATTTGCAACTCTCCACATATGCTTATTTGCCTAATATGACAATGCTATTATTATTCCCATTTTATAGATAGAAGGTAAGTAACTTACTTGAGGTCCTACAGCTAATAATGGAAGAGTAAGATATAAACTCATGTCAACTGGCTCTAGAGTCCATGTTAACCAATACACTCCAGTGACTCACATGTAATGAGAAGAACATGGAGTGAGACTGGTGATTGTAACAGTCAGGATAGTCCTGGTTATGCTGAAGTAACAAACATCTCCCAAATCTCAGTGCTTTAAAACAGCAAAGATTTATTTTTTGCGCTCATTTCCTGTCCACTATGGGAGGGTTGGGGGAGTAGCAGGACACCACAATACATTGCCTCTTTCAAGAACCCTGGTTAAGAAGGCTCCATCTCCAAGGTCATTGACTGATGGTAGACACAGAATAAAAAACAAAGGAGTGTGGTTAACCAGACTTCTAAAGTTTCTACTCAGAAGTGACTCCAATCACTACTGCTCACATTTTACTGTTCAAAGTAACATGGACTATACAGGAAAGTGCAATCCTACTATGTGCTTGGATATTGCAGCACAAGATATAGCTGGTGGACAGCACAGGTGACCTCTCCCAATGACCTGCCTTACAGACACTGAAATGCTCCTCTCCAATGCTGATGCTATTTCTCCTCTTGCTTTGTTAAATGTTTCCAAATGGCCCCGACTCTTTTCATCATCAGTGGATAAAGGGAACTGTATAGTTGTTCACTTATAAGTCAAAACCATGGCCCAGACACTAGAATCTTCACCAGGGACAAGAATCGTCTCACCCTTTAGCTACAAGCATTCTTTCTAATCTCTTTGGCTTCCTTCCTAATAGCTAATTTATTTCAATATTTTTAATCTTCTCAACTGACATCAACTTTTTTGTTTGAATAACTTTGTATGATCTCACAGCCTGTTGGGAACAGAGAATACAGAGATGCAGTTTTCACATGGAATCATTCATTCACCTACTCTTTCCCTAAAAGGGAGGCATATTTCTAAGCCCAGCTCTATGAGAGGCATGATCCTTCAGGCTGTGAGAGATACAAGGGTTACTCAGAATACTGCCTTCAAGGAGCTTATACTCTTCATCAGAGAACCTAGATATGTGGGAACATGACACCCATCCATTCATCCATCCACCCTTCCATTCAATAAACACTTATTGAGTGTTGGCCAAGTTCCAGACAGTACGTTGGGAAGAGGGGTATATGACACTGAGCCATGCAAAGCCCATATCCTCAATTCAATTAGTTTAAAATCCAGTAGGGGAGGCAGATGGTTACAATGCAGCACCTCGGGTATTGCTCAGATGGGATGCAATAGGAACACTGGGAAAGGCACATAATCGAGGCTTCAGTTAAATGAGGAATGGACATTCCAGACTGACGGAGCATCCCTAGGCCAGAAGAAACACAGGCTCGGGCAACAACAAATTGCTGTGAAAGGCTGGAGTCCAATGGGCGCGTGAGAAGTGAGACTAATAATTTAGGCCCAGGGACAGATCGGGAAGGACTGTGTGTTCCGACCGGGAATTTTCCATTGTATCCTAGAGGCCAGTTTGATCTCCCCTCTTTATCCAAAATAATTATAATAATTATTGTTATTATGTATAAACTGTACTTATTATCTATTCTATTATATTCACGCATGCTATAAAACATACATGTTTTAAAGGATAATGATGAAATAAATAATAATTTTAAATATCTTAATTCAATTGCTGTACTAAAATCTTTCTGTTCTCTTGTTTAGTGAGAGCAATGGGTTTGCACATAATTTATTCTATTTAAAGCATATTAATAGTTTGTGAGACATTAATATAAAGGTCAGGTTCCAAATTTAGTTTATTTCTATACCTGTCTCTATTGGCTATCAGATTTAAATATGTATTTCATAAAGACAGGGAGATCTAGGGGGCGCCCTTGGACCACTGACTGTGTTTTTAAGTCAGTTATGCCCAAGTTCAAGTTCCGTATAAGGCTTGTCATAAATTTGCTTCTCTGGTAGCTCTGAGTTTTTCTTGCAAACTCATTAGAAGGCAATAGTTTTTTGATATTTTTAAAAAATGGGTACAACCCCCACCAACACATTTCACTTGGAACATCTGAAAACATATTAGTGAATATGCAGCTCTGAGTATTTTGATAGATGACATAACTCATGTTTGACAGCCTAGTTCCCGAGGAGATGGCAACATTTCCAAACTTCCTTTTTCAAAATCCTCTCTTCAGAGCACAGATTTCTTGTGAAAAGCAATTACTTTCACCTTCTAAAACTGCCATCTTGAAACAAAATAAGCAAGTTGGGTTTTTCCCCAAATGTTTGCTAGAGAGAATATTAATAGCAACCTATTATCGAAGAAAAGCAACAAATATGGGACACTTGTGGTTTTTCTTTTTCAATGAAAAATGGATAAATCATCTTTAATTTTAACAACTCTGTTAAGCATTTTGAAGTAAAATAACAATTGAATTTCTATGTGGCGCTGAAGATTTTTCTAGTTATTATATTTCAAAGTATTGTGTCCTAGCAGTTGAATTTTTCCTACATAAATGGTGTTTTTTAACTCATAAACTGAAATGGTTTGAAATACTCTGAAAGTGAAGAAGGAATGTGCGTGCAGAAATCTCTCTCTTCTCTCAAGAGGCCTCCTCCATGCTCAGGGTCAGAGGACAGGCCAGCCAGGCCCTGTAGGGTTGCTAAAGCTCGCATGGAAGTGGTGACATTGTCTTCCTGCATCCGAGCAGATGACCCAGCTCAGCCCAGGAACGTGAGTGCTCTGCTCTGGCGACCACTGCTCTGAGGAGGAGGCCAGGAAAGAGTTTTTAACAAGGGAGGGATGGTGCGAAAAGGTCCCATGTGTTTGGGATAACCGTGTAGAACATGGGCCCACTCTGGCCTTACATGTGTATCTCTCCATTCACCTATGTCAACAGGTATGTGCGGTCAAGGACGAAGCATGACGTCGACATGCGAATCGGAATCCACTCGGGCTCAGTGCTGTGTGGTGTGCTGGGCCTGCGGAAGTGGCAGTTTGACGTCTGGTCTTGGGACGTGGATATTGCGAACAAACTTGAATCTGGAGGGATCCCTGGGTAAGCCAGAGCAAAGCCCTCGTCCTCCTAACCCTAGTCATTTGCCACTTTGTGGGAGCGGGTTTCCCCTGTGCAGAATTCAGGGGTATAGATCTAAAAGCAATTATTTGGAAGAAGATAGAACCCTTCATGGTCTGAGATTTTGGGGTTTATATTTTTCTTTTAAGCCCAAATGGCTTTTTAAATGTCTGGTTATTTCCCATCCCTATCAATCCATACATATAGGAATAAACTAAGCTTACTTTTCCTTTCAGGAAGAGAGTTTGCCCCCGATTCTGAACATGTATTAAGTACCTACTATGAATTAGCCAGTCTGCTAAACATCATTACTACATCACATCATTTGATTTTTCAACGCCCCACACAGTAAATGTTATGAAGGGCCTCACCAACTTTACTGCCTCCCCTTGTTAATTCATCAGTCCCGTTTGCTCAGGGCTGACCTTTCATTATTAATCTCCAGGCCTTCAATGTGTCCCCAAGAGCCTGACACGATGCTTGGCACATAGGAAGGAAGGAAGGGAGGCACACAACCCCACTGTGTAATGGTTGACAGCCTGGACCCTGGAATCGTGCGGAATTGAATTAAAATCCTTTCCCTGCCACAGACACCAGCCATGTAGCTCCACACAAATTCTTCAGTGTCTCTCTGAGCCGTGGGTTCCCAGACTAGCGATTCTCAGCTTGTGCTAGAATCTGAATCACCTGGAGGGTGTGGTAAACCTTGGGCGGCTGGGCCCCACCCTCAGACTTTCTGATCAATGTGTCTGGGGCAGGACAAAGACTATGTCTTCCCAACAAGTGTCCAAGTGATGCTGATGCTGCTGGCGTTGGTACCACACTCTGAGGACCACTGTTCTCGAGCTTTAGTTAAATGAGAAAATGCATATCAAGTCCTTGGTCCTGTGCCCAGTAAACATTCACTGTGGTTGTGTTTGTAGCAGTTACCATGTGACACACATGTAGGGTCTTACAAGGGCCTTGAAGTCCTTGTCTCCCTCCAGCACTGCTTGTGACCTCCCAGTGATGTGACTCTGGGCCAGGTACTTACTCCTGGTCTCGGGGCCAGTTTTATCATCAGCAAAATGGGGGTGGAGGGTGCCTATCAGGAAGAGGGAAATTCTATGAGATGATCCATGGAGCCGGTCATGTCATAACAGCTTTGACTACAGATATCGTTTATGTAAAATAAAGTGTTACCAAATGGTTAGATCATATTTACTGTCATGACTATCATCATTATATCCTGGCATTTAAAATTATCAGAAAATATCAGGTTTACCTGACAGTCAATATTTGGGAATATTGCCTGACTTATTTCCGTAGATAAACGTAATCACCAGAATCTCATCCGCACAGTCTTTACTCCAAAACCCCAGCTAGCAGCCATGATCCAAGGAACCTCTAAAGCCCAGTTTCTATCAAAACGTGTAAATGTAAATTGATTAGAACTTGAGCAGAAGATTCAGTAATGAATGAAGGTGAGGATGTCTTTCCCTACGGGAAATATAATATTGATTCAGTATGTGCAAATATTATTCCCCCTGCGCACTGATGCAAGGTAATAAAACGCAGAATCCAGAGAAAATACCAAATGGGGGTTGGCATTTAACTTAATTATTTTAAGAGAAGATCAGCCATCAGACTTTATAAAGATGATGCATGGAGCCAGTCATACCATAGCTTTGACTACCCTTCTGGGGTTTCATTGTGCCTGAGAGAAAAAGACGGCCTTCTAGCCCTAGCTCTGAGGTTGACCAGAGAGACAGGTCTGGGACACCCATTTCATAGGAGGTCAAATGACCTTTCTCTTCCCCGAGGTCAACATTACTGAGTATGTACTGACAAAATCCGCCATGGGGACACTCCGTGCTTATTCAGCGTGTTTCTGAAGAGAGCGCAAATATCTGTACATGTTTCAGGTTTTGTGCTCTGACCCTAGAAGTCAGTGACTGGCTGCAAGGCTGCGACTTTGGAAAAGGTGGAGAATGTGCCTGCAGGATCAGAAATGCATCCTTGGTAGTTTCTGGGTGTTTTACGTGTCCTCTGCAGTGATTTATTCTATGAGCAGGAATTGAGCAGAATGGGTAAAAAGGAAGTAGAAATAGCACTAAAAGTACAATATGCCTGGCCGGTATGGCTCAGTGGTTGACTATGGACTCATTCACTGAGTGGGTACTATTGTTTTTCCCATTTTCATGGATGAGAAAACAGACTCATAGAAAGATTAAGTAACTTGCCCAAGATCTATCAGCTAGCAAGTAAGTGGTAGAGCCAGGGTTTTGATCCCACAATCCGGCCAAAGAGTTCATGTCCGTAACCACCGTGCTAGGCTACCCACAGCACACTATGGCACTGTAAGGCGTCTGGGTGAGTTAGACAGGAGCACACAGAAAAACCCTCCCAGAATGATTCACCATGTGAAATTTCCACGATTCCAGTGTGAGCCTTAAGGCCCTTGATGTCATCTGTTCTTTTGCTAAAAAAGAAACTTGAATCATGAGCTGCAGTGGCTGATGACTGTGCAGGAGTGAGTCACTCACCTTGTGAGTGAGGCCGGCCAGTGGCCAGCCAGCACGTGGCCACAGCTCTGTTCTCCACTCCATGCCGTGCACAAAGGTCAGGGAAAGCTTCTCTGTGGTCCTGTGAGGCCTGCCTTTTTCTTATGATTTTAGACAAGTTGAAGAAACGAGGCAAGACGATAAGAGAACTGTCATTGTTGCTTGGTGATTTTGGACAAAAAATGCCATGGGTTCAGAAACATTTATGGAACTTGTTTTCCCAATATAATCAACATCACTGGAAAAAAAAATCACTGACCGTTGCTTTTTTCTGTGTCCATGAATTTTTTGTTTTATTTTTTTTGCTCAATCCCTTTACCCAGCACCTACCCACCCCCCGCAGCTGTCAGCCTGCTCTATATCTATGAGTCTGTCTCTATTTTGCTTGTTAGTTCATTTTGTTCATTAGATTCCACATATGAGTGAAATCATATGGTACTTGTCTTTCTCTGCCTGGCTTATTTCACTTAGCATGATACTCTCCAGGCCCACGCATGCTGTCACAAAGGGCAAGATTTCCTTCTTTTCTATGGTCCAGTAGTATGTAAATGTGGTGTAAATGTACCACAGCTTTTTTATCCACTCATCTACTGATGGGCACTTGAGTTTCCAAATCTTGATTATTGTAAATAACCCTGCATCTGTTCTTTCGAATCAATGTTTCGGGTTTCTTTGGACAAATTCCGAGAGGTGGGACCGCTGGGTCATAAGGCAGTTCCATTTTTAATTTTTTAAGTAATTCCATGTTGCTTTCCACAGTGGCTGCACCAGTCTGCATTCCCAGCAACAGTGCACGAGGGTTCCCTTTCTCCACATCCTCGCCAACACCTGTTATTTGTTCATCTATTGATGGTAGCCGTTCTGACAGGTGTGAGGTGATATCTCACTGTGGTTTTAGTTTGCAATTCTCCGATGATTATTGACATTGAGCATCTTTTCGTTATGTTATTGGCCATCGTATGTCCATTTAAGCAAAGTGTCTATTCAGGTCCTCTGCCCATTTTTTAAATGGACTGTTTGGGGTTTTGTTTTTTTTTGGTAAAAATCACTGTTTTTAAGGGTTGCCGAGACCAGGCTGACAGTCACAAGAAAAGCTGAAATAAGTGCTTATGTGGGGCAGCTCTGCAGGGCTGTGTTCATCAGAGGCTGCAGTGTCCCTTGGGGTGGAGTCAGCGATGCCCTGCTCGTTGATTTTTTCTTGGAGTTCTGTTTTCTTTTATTCTTTCTGATTTTTTCAGGGGCCCACACACTGTCCCCGAGGACATGACCTCACAGTGCCCTGCTGCTGGCTTTGCCCAGGCCACGTCAGGGGTGGATAATGACCTACGCTTTGTGTCCCCAGGAGGATTCACATTTCCAAAGCCACCCTCGACTGCCTCAACGGTGACTATGATGTGGAAGAGGGCCACGGGAAAGAGAGGAATGAGTTCTTGCGGAAGCATAACATAGAGACCTATTTAATTCAGCAGCCGGAGGACAGTCTGCTGTCGCTGCCCGAAGACATTGTCAAGGAGGCAGTGAGCCCCTCGGACCGGAGGAACAGCGGGGCGACGTTCACCGAGGGGTCCTGGAGCCCCGAGCTGCCCTTCGACAACATCGTGGGTAAACAGAACGTAAGTCCTGGCTTCCTTCTTCTGGTCAGCCCAAGGCATGCGCAGTGCCTCTGCACCAGAGAGGCCCCAGAGATAAGCCATTCATCTTTCACCTTTTCTCTGCTGAGCAACAGCATTGCAAATCATCAAACCCTAGCTCCTCCGGACAGAAATAACTTTTGTATGCAATGTCAGGAAATGCATGAGATACCAGAGTGTGCTCAACACCCTCTCCTTTTATTTTTTATTTTTTTACCTCACTCAAAATAAATGTCATGTGAAGCTGAATTGTAATTATAAAAAAAAAAAAGACCCATATTGCAAAAGAGAAACCTGATATTATTATACTAGCAACAGAAGTAGATGATCAGGTCCAGGGGAATGCCATTCCTTAGACAGCTGGCAGGCTAGGAGTTCTGAACTGCCCTCTGGATTTAAAGTCAGGGGGTCGCCATTGATCTGGGACAGGCAGCACCAGATGATGCCCAAGGGGAGGGTGAGAGCGTTCAGGAGTAGCATGAAATTGCAAAGCCGCCCTCGTAATTCTATTCCTATTTAGTGTGAATTTGCTTCTTATCTGAGGGATGGAGCCAACAGTCAGTCCATGAGGAGTAAATCACCAATCACCAAATTATTTCTTAAATCATTTCTTCAACTACCAGGACTCCACTAACCCGAATGAGATGCTCAGACTCCTAGAGGCGCTAGAGGACTGAGGCTGGTCAAGGCCGAGAACCTGAGAAGTCTGCGATGCCCCGTCCCCAGAATGCTTGCTCAGGACCGGGGCTCTAGTACGGGTTTCCCCTTTCATTGCCCAGGCCCGCCACCTCCAGTTGAATTCATGTGAGTTAAAGAGTAGAACCCCACCATCCTTTTCTAAAGAAACAAACAAAAAAAGCCAATGTGTATGAGACTGGGAAACAGTTTCTGACATGCCCCTGTGCCCAGCAAAAGCTGAGCGCTGAAAACAAAATCAACCCAACCCAGAGCGTCAGGAGCTCTCTGAGGACCTGACGGGGTTCACTGTTTCAATCCATGGACCTGGACTTTCTCCTTAGCTGATAGATAAGAAAAGTCTGTCTGCTTAAAGCCATTTAAAAAGGGAAAGGTTAAAGTGCTGGAAGTCTTCTGCATGGGACAGGTGGGTGGGGCACTCTGAGGCCAGGTTAACCTCTGTCTCCAGTCAGTTCTGTGTGACGGGGCAAAGGAGTAACTCATGGGCCAGACTCCACCGGAAGACCCAGGTCAAACCCAGTCCGCACGCCTTGGGAAGGTCAACCCTTAGGTCCTTACTCTCCTTCTGTGTTTCATTTTTCCCCAGAATTATTATGCACAACAGAGTCACCGCTGATTTCAGTGCCCACTTCCTCCCATCCCTGAACTGGTGTGCATGGTGCAATTTGCTATTATGTAAAACAATGGACTTATATGTCCTTCCTGGAGTGGGTGCGTGGCCAGCTGACAGCACCCTCTGCTTCCTCTGCCTATTGTTAGCTTGAGCCTAGAAGCTGGTTATTTAGAGAGGAATGCATGCTTCACCATAAATACCTCAGTAACTCTGCATCACATTCTCTAAATGTTTTTTTTGTTTGTTTGTGTGGTGTTTTTTTTTGGTCTTGCCATTTGAAAAACTTTTTCTATTTAAGCTGATTGTGGAACCAGGGATAATTCCTAATTGTTCTAATCTTAGTGGTTCCTAACCTGGCTGCTAATCACTGAGAACCAAGAGATAGAGGTGGAGATACTCGGTCTTATTCTGCGATTGATGGATCTGGTAAAATTGTACAGGAATATCTGAAATATTTCTTTGCTAATTTCCTAAAAAAAAATACTTGCTGATATCATCAAGTCATTATTATAAGGTATATCATTGTTAGTCAATAATCACACTGTATATTTCATATGCTGCCCGAGTTTTGCCTGGATGCACTCCACCTGTGCCATCTTCAGCGTGAATCATCTCAGTTCATGTTGATGTCTTGGGACTTCAGAGGCAGGGGATGTGTACTGATATTCACAAATAACTAAATGGCACTAATAAGACTGAGAAAATGAGTCAATTAAAATGGTCACAAACCCTCAAAGTTTACACTTACACTTAACTCTAGAAATCGAGGGCCATCTGTGCCACTCAGAGACATGTGTGTGCCTGGGAGAGACGGAGACTGGTCTGGCTGGGCCTGTCTGCCAAAACACCCCGTCAGCTCCCCGGAAAGCCCAGACCATCTGAGTGTTTGCACATCACATGGAAAACAGACTAATTCTCCACTGGGGCTTTGCCAGCTGAATTGGGCAAATGTTTTGGCTTCTATTGATTCATGTGAGCTTCGAAATATTTTTAATGACATCGGAATGCTGTGGCATAATCTGTGCGCTATACATAGCAGATGTTCAGATAGTTTCCTTCTCATTTATTCATTCATCCAATAAGGATTAATTGAGCATCCTTTACATGCCAACTGCTAGTAGCAGTAGCAGGAAGGACAGAGAGAAGAAACACTGCAGAGATCAAGTCAGCCAGTCGTTTATAGGTTTCATGAAGAGAGAAATTATGTTTCACTTACCACTGTTTAGCCCAACATCTGGCAGGTAATGGGACTTGATGATAGTTTGGTGAATGAATGAATGAATGAATGAATGAATGAATGAATGAATGAAATGACAGATGTGGGTGGTAACAGAGAGGAACCAGTTAAGTTCAACTTCCAGGTATTTTGCTTAGGTGTCGGGGTGGACGGTGGAAATGCCCACTGAAATAAGCACTACTGGGATGGAAGGAGATTGGATGGGAAACCCTAGGAGTTCCGTTTGGGGCATGGTGAGCTTGAGATGTCTGGAGAGGGCTCCGTGGAGGTATATCCGGGGACTACTGAACACTCACTCTGGAGCTCAAGCATAAAGGAACTGTGCAAGGGATGTGAACATGGCAGTCATCAGAACCCGAGGGCTAGTCGAGGCCATGGAATGAAGGGGATCACAGCAGGGAATATGTGAAATAAAACCATAGGGAGGCACAGGATAGACCTCAAGGGGCACCTGGTGGGAGGTGACAGAGAGCAGTGACCCCACAACAGAGACAAATAGGAAGGAAAGTGATGAGAAGAGAATTAGGGGATGTGGTGTCCTGGAAGCCCAGAGAGCAGAGAGCGCGTTTTGAGATGGAGGGAGCAATCAACAATGGCCAGTGGAGCCAAGAGGCTAAGATGGAAAACTGCCCATTGGAGTTGGATGGAAGAACATCATTGGCAAGAGGCAGATTTGATGAGGTGGCAAAGTCAGATGGTCACGGGTGATAGATAAGAGAGGGCTCTGCATCTCACAGTAGATCCCAACTCCACCCCTGTCTCCTCCCCACCACCCCTCTAAGGAGTCTGTCAATGGTTTGGAGCAGCAGCTACTGCACTAAGAATTGTTTTTGGTCCCTTAGGTGAGTCTTCCAGTCCTGCTCTATGCTTGAAGAGCCTTCCTTGGTTTTGATGTCATGCATCTTCCCTGCCCCTTATCTGTGTCCATTTGGGTTAAATTGCTGGTTCAACACAGCCTGAGGTCTGGTGTCCAGGTTGCTCTTGGAAGCCTGCAGCACTCGTGGTTTGCATCCCCGAATCCTGACGTGGCAGGTGTTTGCCCACTGATTTGGCATCTTGGCTCGCTGAACCCTGGCTCAGTTACCAGTGGGGCTGCCTATGCTCGGAGCCTCAGAATGGAATGAAAGTAAGGAAACTAGAAGTCAAGAAGTGTATGATCACAGGTGGACTATTGACGTTCAAGGTATGAATGTAGAAGTGGGTGGTTGAAGTAAATGGAAAGTGGACAATTGGACGTGTGGGGGAGGGTGTCCAGAAATTTCCAGGCTAGATTGTTGGATGAGTCATCAACATGGTCATTGAATCTCTCAGAATAAAGGTAAATTTGGGGATGAAAACAAAGACTTAAGAAATGGGTCCTTGTAATAGAGATCATGCTTCCCTCTGATTGCACGCTGTAACTAAAATCCATTGTGGGCTTGAGCTCTTCATTCGATTACTTAACAGGAACTCAGCAGTCTAACTGCTGGGGATTAGTACTGAGAAGGCAGACCTGGTCCCTGTCCTCTAGGAGCTAACATTTTAAGGGAGTGGGGAATGTACACAACTAACCAAAACATGAAAGTGCTTTGAAGGAAGTAGATATAGGAATGGGGGGGGGGGCAGATCAAATTATCACCGATAGGATCATCGCAAGTTTCTGAAGATTTGATTGGAGCGCTGAAAGGAAACCAGGAGGACATCTAGAGAAAACAGCAGTGCAAAGGCCCTGCAATGGAAAAAACGTTTCATATGTTAGAAGAGCAAAATGGCCCAAGGGGCTAGAGCAGCAACTTCCAACCTGTGTGCTGCAAGAATTCTTAAAACATGAAATACCTGACTATTTAGTCAGGGGCACTGGTCTCTTCTCCCTTAGATTATCAAATAAAAATAAAAAAATGACAGCCAACACAATAGCTGTCTTGTGTGAATGAATAAAAATTATACCTTTTTTGTCAGATCAGCAAAAACTATATTTTCTGGTGTGCCTTCGAATTTTAGTAATGAGTTTATGTGCCATGAGATGAGAAAGGTTGAAAATCGCTGGGCTAGAGCATAGTGAGCAAGAAAGAAAGGGGTCAGAGGTGAAGGTAAAGCATGCGGAGCTTGCTCCTGCCAGCTCAACATGGGATTTCCTTTGAAGGGAAGTGATGGAAAGGCATCCAGCAGGGCACAGACATGACCTGATTTAGATTTTTGAAGGAATCGCTTTGGCTGTCTTGTGGAGAATGGACAAATGGCATCTTAGACTGATGACTCCCAAGAGGATACAAAGGGGAAAGCTTTTGCTACTATGAGATGTATTGTGTGAGGATATTAATCCTTCTTACATGACTTTTGTAACAAGTGATATGCCAAGAACATGGAGCCACCCTTTAGAAGTGAAGCCCCTATCAGAGCCTAGGGTCTGTCCCTCACATCCTATGAGGTCCCCGCCACTGTCCCATCCATCCCTTG